GCCAGGATGGTCTCGATCTCCTGACCTCGTGATCCGCCCGTCTCGGCCTCCCAAAGTGCTGGGATTACAGGCTTGAGCCACCGCGCCCGGCGAAAATTCTATGCCAGGCATCACCTAACACGAGGAACACGAGGAGTGGCCCCCTCACATCCTCTCACTGCCTGCAGGGCAGCAGGCTATGGAACATTACCTCAGGTTGCCACCGGCCTCTGTCACTTCGTGGGATAACCCAAGTTGCAGGTTGGCCACAAAAGACTTGAGGTGAGCCAGCTCCAGGGCCTTCCAAATCTCCTCATCTGAGTAGTTGTTGAAAGGGTCGAGATTCATCCTCAGGCTTCCAGAGAACAGGATGGGGTCCTGCAAGTGAGGGGACAAGGGGGCTGTTGGGGCTCACGCCAGAAAAGGACCTCGGAGTTCCTCGGGACTGGGAGATGGTGGATAGGACTGGGCCTGAGGTGGATTCCTGAGGCAGGAAGCTGGTTTGTGGTTCAGCTTCCACAAGGTTTTCCCTCCTCAGGCTCGGAGTGGCTACCAGCCAGGGGCTAGGCACAGGGTTAAGAGAAGTCCTCGGTTTATTTTTTGCTTTTGAGACCGAGTTTCACTCTGTTGCCCACACTGGAGTGCAGTGGCACGAACACCACTCACTACAGCCTTGACGTCCTTAGCTCAGGTGATCCTCCCACCTCAGCCTCCCGAGTAGCTGGGACCACAGGCACGCACCACCATGCCTGGCTGATTTTTTCAATTTTTTGTAGAGATGGTTTCTTGCCATGTTGCCTAGGCTGATCTTGAACTCCTGGGCTCCAGTGATTTACCTGCCTCGGCCTCCCAAACCCAAACTCGTGGTTTCAAGGTGGAGGGATCAGAAGAGGGTAGAGGAAAGAATAGTACAGCCGCATGAGAAGAAGGTGTCACCCTTTTGAAGAGGCTGGAGAAAGGACTATCGAACTGAGCAAACACCACACAGACCAAAGCTACCCCTAGAGGAACTGGGCTGCAGTGGGCGGAGGGCGAAAGGTTCTCCTGAGGAGCCGCGCGCTGCTGGGGAGCCCAGAGGCCCCGCGGCAATCCTTATCTGGCAGGATCCGGAGAGGAAGCCGAGGGGAAATCTTTCTTGCTGATGCACGAAGCATTCCGCTTGCTGGCAGAAACCTGCAGCAAATTCCCTCCTCTACCTTTTAACCATAGCAAATGGGAAGTATAAAGCTTAATGGCTTCAAGCTTCAGCGGCAAAACTGCTAATGCTGATTGCAGAAGTCTTGCAAACCGTCATGGGCTATAGCAACGCTAAATAATCATCCGCTCTGCTTGACTTCTGTTGTGTTGCTGCCACCTAGTGGTCAGATACAGGCAGCCACAAATGCATATTACCAAACATTTCAAAACTTAAGTTCTGGAAACCTGGAAACGACGTGTCCATCCCAGGGAACTAGCTCAGGTATCAGGAGCAGACTGCGGAATTGACAGTGCTGACTGAATAGACATCAAGAAGAAGCTGCATATGTTTCCTGTAAAACAAGCTGCTCCCCACGGCATGTGCCCGAGTAAGTTCTAGAGCTCACCTGGGGGATGATGGTCAGCTTCTCTCGGAGGTCGTGGAGCCCAATGGAAGCAATATCTACTCCATCAATGATGATCTGACCACCGGCAGCCTCTAAGATTCTGAAGAGGCAGTTTGTGAGGGATGACTTTCCAGCTCCTGTCCTGCCCACCACACCAATCTGTGAATATAGTTCCCTTACACATTAGTTCCACATGCAATTCTTGGGGAGAAGTTATTTAGCCAGGGCGTTCACAGTCACAGGAGGTAAGAGGCAGTGATTGGCTGCTCCATCTCTAAGATACTAAACTGATACTGGTTTTGGTAAGGAAAAAAGTACCCGGATGTCAGAAAAAGATGTCAAAAATCATTGTTTGCTGAGAACTATAGTCACTGTTTGAAACGGACTCTCTTGGCAGCTGTTGTTACAATTATTATTGGAACTTATAGATAAAAACAAAATCCTTGTTTAGGCCAGGTGCGGTCGCTCATGCCTATAATCCCAGCACTTGGGAGGCCAAGGCGGGCAGATCACCTGAGGCCAGGAGTTCAAGACCAGCCTGGTCAACATGGAGAAACCCCGTCTCTACTAAAAATACAAAAAAAATTAGCCAGGCATGGTGGCGTGCACCTGCAGTCCCAGCTACTTGGGAGTCTGAGTAGGAAAATCACTTGAGCCCGGGAAGCAGAGGTTGCAGTGAGCCATGATTGCACCACTGCACTCCAGCCTGGGTAATAGAGTGAGACTCCATCTCAAAAAATAAACGAATAAATAAATAAATAAATAAATAAATAAATAAATAAATAAAAGTAAAAATAAAGAAAGAAGAAAAATCCTTGTGAAGAAGGGAAAGATTAGGTCTGCCACCAGCTGAGAGCCAGACTCTGATCTGGACTTCAGCGCCCTTGCTCATCAGACCCCAAGTCCTCGAAGAACAACAGCACCTAAGGAGGGTGCCTGACTTTGAAGACTGGGAGGAGAACTGGGCCATTCTTCCTTCAGGGACAACCCTCCACACTGCTATTCTCAACAGTTCCTTCACCAGGCCTGGATGCCCCCTTGTTTCCTTCCTGACTTCCTCTCTGCATACTGTGGACCTTATAGGAAAGGGGCCCTGGTCAGCTGGCTAGGAGGCAGGGAGGAGCTGAGCAGAAGGCCCCTACAGCTGCAGTAAGTCTGTGTGATTCCTGGCTGCTATCCTTCCCTCTGATACTGTGTCCCCACACCTCCCCAGAGCAGAGGAAGTGCCCTGACCCTCTCCCTCCATCCAGATGATAAAGGCTTAGGGCCCAGCTGCTCTCCACTCTGTCCAATTGCTGTTTGATCACAAGGCCTCCCATCCAGGCCTTGCTTCACTCCACCTACCTTCTCCATGCTACTGATGTCACAAGTGATCCCTCTGAGGACCAGATCCAGCTCAGGTCGGTACCGCACTTGGTAGTTGTTAAACTGGATCCTGCCTTTGCTGGGCCAATCTGGCGGAGGCCTCTTATCAGTCACCCAGGGTGCCTGGCAAGGAGACAAGATAAGAAGTAAGTTTTATAAGGTGACAACTCAGCCGAACAGTCTACCCATGACTCGTGTCATAGAACAGGAGAAGGGTAGCAGTGTCCCAGCTACCTAATGGCCTCTGCATTTAATAGAATGAACTGGACTTGTACTTTGGAAAGTTCCTACCTTATTCAGTTAAAGAAAAATACACCACAAGCTTGTGCTGTAGATCTCCATGGTATGTTCCAAGACTTGACATCCCCTAAACCATTTCCTATTCTAAGTTTGAAGAAATTAGGTCCTTTGAGTTCGAGGAAAGGAAACTTTAGGGACCATTACGGGCCCATGTGAAATATGGAGAAATTCTACAGATGCACCCTCGAAGGAGGTGCATGTTGTTTTTGCCTTGTCCCTGGATTTTTCCAGTTCCTCCTTACCTCATTTTCCACTTTTGTGTACTCAGTTATTCGCTCAGCCGCCACAATGTTGGTCTCTATTTCTGATGTCATCCTCACCAGCCAGTTCAGAGTTTGTGTGATCTACAGAAAAACCAGAAGACTGAAAATCATCATAGGCACAAAACTCAACCACTCAAACCACAAGGACAATCCAGTGCTGACTTTGTACTCAGCACTGTGCTGGGCTCTGCAAGGGAGTAAGGAAAAGCGTAAGAAAGACAATCCTTGCCTCCTTGGGGAAGGAATTAAGAGCAGTGCATTGAACGGCTGCAGAACAATTAGGTGCTCATGCAAAGCGCAATGTGAGTGTCTAGTGGTTTGGGGCTAAAGCTGGAATTGGAGAGTCTAGCAATGGGAGGAGTGGGAGCAGAGGTCAGGCCTCCTGCCTGTATGCCTAGTGTTCTTTGTGAATCAGAGAAAGGCATGATCCAGGCCAGGGAATCTGTAGATTACTCAGATGCAAACTTCTCTCAGGAAAAGACTCAGGAGTTTGCATATATGCACAGGGAGTTTTTTGTTGAGCAAATGGTGGTTAGAGAAAGGGAGCCAGAGACAGCAGTTTAGAGAAAGGGAGCCAGAGACAGCAGAGGACAGAATCACGGGGAATCGGAGTATCCACTTTGTGTAGATTGAAGCATATGTAATTGCTGGTATTTGAGTCATTTTGTTTTGGTTCAATACAATAGTTTCCTGACTATTTGCCTTGCCTGTCCTGGGCTAAAAAGCCTAGAAATAGGGGGATGAAAGGGTAGTGACACAAGGAACTAAGTGACCTCAGTCTCTTGCCTCCCTAGTAGCTGGGATTACAGGCACCTGCCACCACGCCTGGCTAATTTTTGTATTTTTAGTAGAGATGGGGTTTCACCATGTTGGCCAGGCTGGTCCCAAACCCCTGACCTCAGGTGATCCACCCGCCTCGGCCTCCCAAAGTGCTGGGATTGTGGGTATGAGCCACTGCGCTCCACTAGCCTTATTAACTTCTAATGAAGACACCACTATTATATAAAGCCCACATATAACTATGCCAATCTCTTTGAACTAAAAAAAATTAGTTCAAAAAGATAGTCAAATGACTCATTTATAACAAATATTGGCTGAATAATTACGGTAGTGCCAGCCACTGTCTTAGGTGCTAGAAAAGAATCATGCCTGCCATGTATCCCCTAGTCATGCTGGGGATGCTGCAGTGAGACACATTCTATAGTTTTATCAGACTCTATGTTCTTTATTAGAATTACCTCCAATTATTCTACCATCTAAGAAAAATAAACACAGGAGGAATTATATGTTCAAAAAGGCTTTCTGATTACTGCTGCATTCTAGAGAAGAAAGTTATGTATTCTCTCTTTTAACTAGAACCAAGCAAAGAGGCAGACAGGGAACAATTAGATTGAAACACATGCAATTGCCTTCTTAAGCCCTAAGGTCAACATTTATGTCCAGTTTTCTAGATGGCATTCATGTCTACTTAGGAAGAGTAAGGAGCAAGTCCATGGGTAAAAGATGGAGCCAGGGTTTGAACCTCAGTCTCCCTTAGTCCCTCTTGGTTTAAGAAGGAATCAAGAGCACAGACTCCACAGTATACATCAGGCTTAATTTAAGAATAAGCGCACTAACGAAACCAAACTCTCAACCTTCAAACTCACATTGAGTGCATTGGACAGAACAAAGCCAACAGTGTCCCCATTTAGGGTATCTCTGTAGATAACCATCATCAAGGCTGAAAAGAAGACAATCAGGTTCCCAACCAGCTCCAGGCGAATTGCTAGCCACCTGTGGGGCAACAGAACAAGAGAGTGGGTGTCACTGATCACGTCCTCATCTTAACCAGCAACCTTGGTGTTCACAGAACATTCTCATAGGGTTTGACTCGATCAGGCCGCACTCTTAGGCGATGCTTCAATTTGACTTAGAAACAACATGTTTTCCTAAAAGCCTATTGATATTATTTTTAAGAAAATAAATTGCATTTTAAAGATCCTAGAGGGCTTTGCTGAACTAAGGGAATCCTACAGTGCAATGTCCACCAAACTCACCAAATCATAAGAATCACCTAGGGCAACTGTTAGTATATAATGTTACAAATTCATGTGGAAAATTCCTGGACCCCTTCTTTTAAGATTCTGATTTCAGGGCGCCTAGGATGGGATTCAAGAATATGCATTTTTTCCTGTTTGTTTTTGTTTTATGAGACAAGGTCTTGCTCTGTAACCAAGGCTAGAGTGCAGTGGCGTGATCATGGCTCACTGCAGCCTCGACCTCCGGGGCTCAAGCCATCCTCCCACCTCAACCTCCCAAGTAGCTGGAACTATAGGTGCACACCACCGAACCCAGCTACTTTTGTGTGTGTGTGTGTGTGTGTGTGTGTGTGTTTCTGTAGAGCCTGGATTTCATCATGTTGTCCAGGCTGGTCTTGAACTCCTGGGCTCACGTGATCTGCTTGTCTCAGTCTCCCAAAGTGCTGGAATTACAGGTATGAGCCATTGCCCCCGGCCAAGAATCTGCATTTTAAATGAATGCTCCAAATGACTTCTTTTGATCAGGCTGGGGAAGCAATGCTGTAGTGAATCCATGTGTAAGATTAAGAAGTAAGCACCACAGGAAGGGTCAACGTGCCCCGTTTGATTTCAGCATTTATAAAAGGGGAAGAAGAAGCTGAGGGTGAAAGGAAGTTAGGTGCGAATTGGCCACAGGTATATACATTGGGATTTCATAGAGAACTGAAAACAACATGTGTATAGACACAGTTTATAAAAATGGACTTTCCCAGGCCGGGCGCGGTGGCTCACGCCTGTAATCCCAGCACTGTGGGAGGCTGAGGCAGGCAGATCACCTGAGGTAGAGAGTTCAAGACCAGCCTGACCAACATGGAGAAACCCCGTCTCTACTAAAAATAAAAAAAAAATTAACTGGGCGTGGTGGTGCATGCCTGTAATCCCAGCTACTTGGGAGGCTGAGGCCGGAGAATTGCTTGAACCCAGGAGGCAGAGGTTGTGGTGAGCTGAGATTGCAACTGTACTCCAGCCTGGGCAACAAGAGGGAAACTCCTTCAAAAAAAAAAAAAAAAAAAAGGACTTTCCCAAAGAAAATGTATTTAAATGTCCGCACCAATAATTCCAGCATGTGTATGAATAAATATGATATGTACTTTACAGTGAAGGTCTAATAAGATTTACTTATATGCCTTTTCCTTCTTGGAAAGTCTCTAAGAAATAAAATATCTTTACAATCAAACTTCTGACCTTTCCACATTCCAAATAATACTGAGCATCTTTAGCGCCTCAAGACACTTTGGAAGCCACTCAAGAATTTTTCTTTCTGAAAAAGATCTTCCTCTTTCCAGGACATACCGCTTGCCAGGGCTTAAGGATACTGGAGAATACCGCTCACCCTGTTCACAGGGTGGAATTTTCTCTTTCTGTCGTCAATGGTCTTACCTAAAAATTTCCAACTCTCCTCTCTCCAACCTCCACTGCCTTCACTATCCAGAAAGAGTGTCATGACTATGGAGAATCTCACATCCGTTCTCAGAAAAGTAAACAGAGGATGTTCAGTTCACCCAGAACTTGTTTGGTACTGGGTTACAAAACGCTCACAAGTGTCATTTGACTTCCACCATGAGACAGGTGGAACCCTGTGAGATAGGGTGTGTTCTGGCCATTACAAAAACAAAGAAATGGAGATTTTCCTTAGAGAAGCCAAGGCAATTCACCCAGCTTGGTAAACAGCAGAGCTGGCATGGGGACCCAGTCTCTGACTCCAAAGCTCATGCTTTCTTCTCTCCACTTACACAGCACGACAGTGTGTGTGGCCAGAGTGAATTTCACACCACTAGCCATGCCTGCCCTCCCACAGCTAATGTCAAACATGTAGAACCCCAAAGCACACACATGGGTAAATACCCAGGGGAAGCCTCACCTGTTGGAGATGATCCAGGAAAAGACACATTTCTGGTTGGTGTCAATCCTCACCTCATTTTGTTTCAGAAATCGCTGCTGGTGCTCAAAGGCACGGATAACCGGCAAACCTGACACAGTCTCGCTGAAGTGAGAGTAGATTGGGGACCTGGTGACAGAGTCCAGACGCCTCAGCTGGCGGGAGGTAGACACATAAAATATCTGGACACAAAAAGTAAAGAATCAGCCAGTCCTGCAGTCATGGGGCATCCACCATCTTCCTTCTTTCTGGCCACAACCCAGCGTTCTTCCCCTTGACGGCCACAGCTTACGTCTGAACAAGACAAAAGCCTGCCGTGCCATGTCTGGGAGCAGAATATGATGAGAGAGGCTCCGAGGAGGAGACCAATGAGAAGACTGGGGTTGGCGGGGAACAGAGGGGGGTGAACATGAGGAGACCACACCACAGCCTCAGAGCTTTGAGTCTCCAAACCTCCCGAGGAGTTCCGTCAGCCTAACCCATATCCCCCAGATCTATGGATCTCGTCCATGTGACAGTTTCTGTACTCATTAGAGAAAACGTCCTCAAAAGGATTTTGTAAAGGCAGCGGGGCCCATGGGGATGGGCAGGAAATGGCCAGAAAAAGGCATGCCTAGGTTTGGGTAAAAATGGAAGAATCTGTTCAGGTAAGTGACCAAAACTGTGCCTCAGTGGTGTGTGAAGGTACAGAGAATTCTGGAGGTATGCAGAGTGCTGAGGGGGTAAGAACTGGAACAGGGTGGAATCCAACGCAGGAAGAACCCTGTGGCCTGAGGGCAAGGGGGAGTGGAATGAGTCCGTGCTGCTACTAGATTCTGTGAGGATTTGTTGAAACCTGGGAAGAGTGGGGCATTGGAGAGTCGGGATACAAAATGTTATACAGGGATGTACAGATGTCCCCTCCAATAACCCTGCTTCTTGTTTGTTGGTTTGTTATTAACAGTTAAAAGGCCACTATAGTGACAGTGTGCCTGAGGAACTGCACGTGGACACAGCGGGAGCCGCCAATCACAGGCCACAAGGCCACAGGCCCCTGACCACAATGTCTTCAGAATTGTTTCCCCAGGCAAACAGTTCACCACAAAAGCAGCTGGTGGGACCAGAGTTCCCCCACAGACTCCCCCTCCCTCATCCATTTTATTGTGGGAATAGGGTTCCTTCCACTCATTCCAGTTTCCCTGTTTTGCTTTCAAGGTGCACATTCCCTCGAAGAATACGCCGGAATTGAGCCGAAACTACCCACAGACACCCCAGTGAAACTAGAACTTTGCTGAAGTAAAAAGAGAGACCCAGCTGCTGCTGAGAGACATCTCCAAGCAGCTATACCTGTCCAAAGTCAACCAAGGAAGCACCACAGCATGGCTCTTCTGGAACCGACCTAATCGTCATGGGGGATCTTATGGAGCTGCAAGACTGTATCCAGAGCCAATCTCAAAGTAGTCTTGGATCCAAACATAAATCTGTCCCACCTAAGCTTCCAGGAAGTGGGAGGCGGGCAGCAGTTAGGGTGACATTTGCCATGAATGGTGCACCCACTGATGCTCTCACTTCAGCTTCAGACAGTGGCCTGTGGGCTCCTGGGTATGCCAATGTATGACTAAATGGCAAAGATGCTGAGGGGAGGAATGAAGGACTAGCAATGAACCAAAGAAGATTCTCAGGAAAGAGGCTGGGCTTTTGTAAATAGACAGGAAGGATGACTTAGCCAAATTTCCAAACCTACCTGAACAGATACATAAATAATGCCAAGAGGAATGACGATGATGGTGAAGATAGGCGTGGCCATGCAGATCATGACAAGGGTGCTGATTATCCCCAAGAAGCATGTAACCCAGCTGCGCATGGACTGAGGCAGGGTGTCATCCACCGTGGAAATATCCTAGGAAAACAATTAGGAGAGCTACACCATCATCGAGGTCTTCCTAAGATAGTTTACATCTTCCGTGTCCTAGCAAGGGATCTGCTGGATTCTGTTTGTTCCCAGTACTCCTTCATGTAATCATTTCATTGTGTCCATTTGCACTAGGCTGCACTGCTCACCCCAATAACCAATTTCATTTCCATAATTTCTTCATTTAGGCCCGGCACGGTGGCTCACACCTGTAATCCCAGCACTTTGCGAGGCCAAGGCAGGTGGATCACCTGAGATTGGGAGTTCAAGACCAGCCTGACCAACATGGTGAAACTCCGTCTCTACTAAAAATACAAAAATTAGCTGGGCATGGTGGCATGTGCCTGTAATCCCAGTTACTCAGGAAGCTGAGGCAGGAAAATCACTTGAACCTGGGAGGTGGAGGTTGCAGTGAGCCAAGATCATGCCACTGCACTCCAGCCTGGGTGACAGAGTGAGACTTCGTATCAAAAAAAAAAAAAATTATTCATTTATAAAAATCCCTCCAAACAGATGATGGCAGTCATCCTTTACCTTTTTCAACAGATTTGGTAAAGGTTTTCATGCTTCTCAGTGAAATTCCCACTTGTCAGATTTACTAAACCATTCATAATCATTGTAAGTTAATAGAGCCTTATAGGTAAATTCTTCTCCCATAACCAAGCCAATTCAATTATTGTAACTTTACACAGGTCCTAATTCCATTGAGTACCTAGAACAGAGCCTGGCACATAACAGGCATTTGATAAACATTTGCTTGGAGGCTCTGGTCATCAGGCCCTGCCACCTACTCTTGACTGATACTCAGGAAGTTGTTTCCTCTGCCAAGCATAGAGGACCAAGGGGAAGGGAGCTGGGGTTGAACGTGAACCTGCCTGGACAATGTTCTAACCAAGGAACCCAGTGGGAACAGACGTGTCTTACTGCCATGTTGCCTTCGAGTCATGTAGAATAAATGAACAAATAAGAAAACGAATCAATGGATGGATGGTTTGGAGAACACTCAAGAAGCTTGGTTTATATTTTGGGTTGCCCTTGCCTACATTTCTGAGGATTATATTGATTCTATGATTAGTAATATGTGAGTACAAAGTGAGTTTAAGTTATCTCTGGAATTTCTCAAACTGGATCAGGGATAACGGTCTTCCAAGAAAGCTCTGAATCAGGATGACTCCTGAGTCTAACCTACCTTTCCCAAAGTCCTATCAGAATGCAAATAACTATACCCACAGTTGGCAGAGAAAAGAAATCCTTACCAGTTATCAGTTCTATGCAGATTACTTTTGACCCTTACCTGGCACAGAGTCTCCATCTTTCCTTCCTCCACTCCATCTCCTCTTAATTCAGCCATCGATCCCAGAGGCCCCTTGATCAGACTCCCCTTAATGGGTCTGAGCCACCTCCCCAACAAAACTTACTATATAATTAATGACAGTTTCCTTTTTCATGCAAACGTAGTCTTCAAACTATGACTGTTGCCTAAGTAACTCACAGAAAACCCCTGCGTTCTCTTTCCCAGAAGATTATATATGTTACAACATGGGGAAAACTGTGATCTTTGTAAAATTACTACGAGAAATTTCTCACCCAAAATGGAGTGTTCTTTTAGGTTCTAGTAAAGAGCAGAAAGGCCATTGAAGTTGTCTCTAGTGACATCATGCCCACTGTTTCTGCCCCAGAGGAAGGTGACACAGGGGGACCAGTTAACGGCCCACTTTTGAAGTGTTTACTGTGTCCCCAGAATCTGGCTGTGGACTGCGAGCTATACTTTCTGTCTGCCCCAAGGCCAACAAACAACAGTCCAGAGCTGCTCCATAAGCAGAGGGCTAAAAACTGTGCTGGTGATAGTTACTTGTCATTCAGAATTGCCTGCTCTCTGCCTCTGTTCCTGAATTCCCATCTCAGATACACTAAAAAATCAATGAGTTGGGTCTGACCCATGGCAGAGAGACATCTATAATCTTCATATTCATTGAGTGCCCCGGTGCCCAGTACAGTACTTGGCTCATAGAAAGTGCTCAATCAAGGTTGTTGAATGAATGAGTGAATGAATGCCAAGGGTTCCAGGATCTGGGGTAGATGGAAACAATATCTGAGAACTTCTTAAAATCACCGATGGCTCTATTTTGTAGTCCAAACCAAATTTACTCATTCTTAAAGCATTCAAGATAGAAATTTCAGGAATGGAGGCAGAGGCCAAGCAAAGGGTTATCCTACTATCTCTTGGATTTCCTGTCCCAGGCAGTGACAGTGCTTTTATTTATGTTCTTTCCTCTGCAGAATAATCCTTCTCACCCTGCTCTACTGCCATCCCTGCCCCCAACCCTCACCATCTCCCTGGCTTGCTTCTATGACTTAAGTTTCACCTTTTCTGACATTTCCTACCTTTATCACTCAGGCTGGGGTAGTGCCATTTTTCCTTTGTACTCCCAGACCACTTTTCTACACACTGTTGTTACTGGTTTTACTATATTCTATTATAATCCTTCACTTCCTTGGTTGTCTTCTTCACTAGATGCTGAGTTACTTGAAGGGTCAGAGATGTTCATCCCTGAATCTCCAGGATCCTTGGGAGCTCACAGCAAGTACTCAAGAAACACCTGCATGTTGAGTGGACAAAAGAACTGGAACTGAACAGTGTTGTCTGGGGGGACATGATAATTCCTCCCTGTCAGAAAGATCCTCAGTACATAAACATACCACCTGACAGTCCTTGAGATACTTACACCGGCAAACCTGTTCACAATCCGGCCTGTGGGTGTTGTGTCAAAAAATCTCATGGGTGCTCGAAGGATATTGTTGAGCAGTTGCTTGTGCAAGATATTTGATGCATGGACAAAACCAAAGGCACTCCAGAAATGTGCTATGAACACAAATATACCTAGAAATGGAAGCAGTTTTGTCAGCACCATGCACAGGAATCCCTGATGACTTGTGCCCAGGACATAACGGCAAATGCATTCCTGAGTCCAGGAAAAGTACAGGGTCCAGACAGATTCTGTAAGATGTCATAGCCATCAGACATACCTTGCGCTAATCCCAGAGCTCCGTAGACTCCAAGTCTCATGTCCCTCTGAGATTTTGGATAGTCGGTGCTATTGAAGATTTTAGAGTCACTGGTCCAAGCACTGAGCCAGAGGTTGGATCCAATAAAAGCCACAGAATTCATCACAAACGCAAGGATGATGAAGAATATTGAAAAAAATCCTACTGCTTGTAGGTACTCCAGGTAGATGGAGAACTTCACCTGCAAAGTCCCCACCTCAATATTAGTAGAACTCCCTAATGGTTTTTGATAAGGAATCACCTAGAATGCCAACCACAAGGAGAAGTGGAGGCCCCTGGGAGCATAGGTAGCAGGTAGCAAAATTTGGTAGTCTGTGGTCACCATTTCTGCACTGTGCCAGGAAGAATAGAACAATGCTGAAATACAATGCAGGGTAAATAATCATAAAAGCTAAAGGCATTTAAGAGAAGAAGATAAAAAATAGATTGGGACAAGCAAGACATGGTAGCATGCCCCTGTAGTCCCAGCTACTCAGAAGGCTGGCGTGTGAGGATCTCTTGAGCCCAGGGGTTTCAGTACAGCCTGGGCAACATAGTGAGACCTGTCTCTAAAATAAACACACAAACAAAAAATCAGAGTAGAACAGATGATGGGGTTCTACTGCTGACCTTGAAATTTGTGGTTAAATTTCATTAATTTGAATTGTGTGCTCCAGGTCTGAGTTTTCCTGTTCCTCCACACATCAGAATGGAATCAAACACTCATGAAGTGTGGGATGAGGACATTCACAGGAAACATGGCATTCTTTATGGAAATATGACTTGGTAGAAAGCCCACAGCCTCTGCTAACATGTTAATAATGAATCTGAAAATTTGCAAAGGACAGAGGACATATTGCTCCTGTAAGTATGCGTTCAATTTTCACTTAACGTTAAAAATTTTGGGTTCTGAACCTTATAACACCTCAAATGCTACTTTTTTGTGTGGTGTTCACCTTTCCAGTTTCTACGAATTCCTTCTTAACCAGTTTTTGTCCTTTCACTAGTTCTTCATCTTCCTTCAGGCTTTTCACATTCCGAGTTTTCAAGGAGTTTTTCAGGGACTTCAGATGCCTGCCGCTGGACCTAGAACTGAGAGAGGGAAGCTTCCCTGAGCATGCAGGCGAATCCCAAGGGTCTTCTTGCAAGCAGATGTCATAGTCGCTCAGCTGGCATCAAAGCACATTTCAGGGCAGATGACCAGGGGAAACTGACACAACCCCGGTTTTTCCCCATCCCCGCTCATACAAGAAACAAAGGAAGAGCTTGGAGTGTCCATGGTGTTAACCCTCACAGGAAAAGCCCAGGAAGAAAAAGAAAAAGATCAAGTGGAAATATGGAGCTGACGAGGGCTGCCAGCTGAATAGATGGCCAACCTGCGGCTAAGCGTTCGACGAAAGCTGTTCTCTCTTCTCATGGTTATGGAGGCTGCATCTTCAGGGATCTCTTCCATACTGGATATCAGCCCAGAGTCATCGTCTTCTTCTTCACTGCCATCATGGACTAGGGAGACACACTAGAGGTTAGGGAAAGAGCTGCATAGAGCCCTGTCAGTCCTATGAACAAGGAGAGAGAAGCCTTCTCTTATCTTGCTGGTTTCAGCAAGGGATCCCAGATGTACATACGGGATGGAATACTTTACTCCATAAATCCTCCATAGTTATTACTACATCTTGTTATTAAGAAATATCAGGATAAAGGAGAGATGAATTAATATTCCACTGGAAGAGAAAATGGTCAAAATGGAGAAGAAAATTCCTAGAAATGCCCAGGTTCCTTTGGAGGAGGAAAGAGTTTTAAGGATTATGGTAGACATACAGAAGAGTCACATTCTCAGAATTGACTAAAGAAGTGATTGTAAATTGAAAATGCTCATCTTGGCAGAGCATGGTGGCTCACACCTGTAATCCCAGCCCTTTGGGAGGCCAAGGTGGGAGGATCACTTCAGCCCAGGAGTTTGAGACCACCTTGGACACCACAGGGAAACTCTATGTCTACAAAAAAAATTTAAAAATTAGCAGGGTGTGGTGGTGCATGCCTGTGGTCCCAGCTACTTGGGAGGGTGAGGTGGGAGGATCACTTGAACATAGGAGGTTGAAGGTGAGCCATGATTGTGCCAATGTACTCCAGCCTGGGCAACAGACTGAGACTCTCTCAAAAAAGAAAATAAAAGAAAAGAAAATGTTCATCTTGAAATTCAAATAATTTAACAAACTTATATTAATTTAAAGCACTTAAAAGACATACCCTGAAAATAAAATAAAATATAAGACATGGTGTGGGCATCAGTGGGGATGGTAGAATAGGAACCTCCAGATATCTACTCCTCCATAAAAGCAATAAGAATAATGACCAAAAAATGGTCAAAGTCAACTTTTTCAGAGCTCTGAAATTAACCAAAGGCTTGCAACAATCCCAGGAGCACTTGTTTTTTTGAAGAGCTGACACTCAGTATTAACAGTAAGCTTGGTGGCAGTTTAACTTACCCTATTTCTGTCCCCCTCTCCTTGGCTGCTACAGCCTAGAAAACTAACAGCCATACAATCCTAGTAGCCATGAAAACCAGCAGCCTAGCAGCCACTGGAGGGGGCAAAGTGGGTTCAGAATGCTCCCAAAAGCCCCATCCCTGGAGAACTGACATTATCTCACCTATCTGGAATTCCCTGAAAACCCCCATTTACAGGGCCTATCTGACCTAATGCTGAGCTAGCTCAAACAATCAGCAGCAATTATTTAACATCACAGCAGCTGCCTGAGGTGGTGATAACACTTGGGGCAAATAAGAAGCTGACCAAAAACTTAAAAGGAAAAGCTCGGAAATAAGATGCTCACAGGGGCTTTGATCTCTCTGATATATTCCCAGCAATCTAGAATGCCACGTACACATGCAGAGCTGTGCACATGTCCAGGAAAGATGCAAGAGGGCTCTAATCTCTCACTTCTGGCTGACCATGTGGCTCTGTATAAGCAGGAGGTGAAGGCTAAGGCAGAGATGTAAATTGCTGGAGCGCTGAAGACATGCTCCCCATCACCCACAACACACACACAGAGCCTCTCAGCAAAGGCTGAGACATTTATTGTTTCCAAGCATTTAAGGAAGTCTCTGTCTAATCACTAGCTGACCACTAAGCCAACCAAACAGAGACCTCAGTGGTCACACATGACAATGACAAAGAATACAGACTTAACAGAATTAGTTCAGGAAATGAAACAAATAGGAAGAACAACCACAACAAACAGCAATAACAAAGATTGCCAAACCACTGGAAACTAGGTGAGAGGCCTTGAACAGATTATTGCCTAGCACCTTAAGAAAGAACTAATCCTGCTGACACCTTGATCTTGCCCTTCCAGCCTCCAGAAATGTGTGGCCATTCACTTTGTGATGTGTTGTTAAGGCAGCTAATTAGGAAACTCATACACAGAACCAATCTCAGTGCAGCTCAGCTTGCCCTCCTGCCCTTCTCTTCATTCCACCAAGTCCCAGATCCCAGGGCCAACGCAGCAGCATCCTAGGCTCTGGAGCTTACAAAACTGCTCAGAAATGTTCTCTCAGTGTTCACCAGAAAAAGGGCTTACAGGAGTGTTTTGCAAACTGTTCTTTGTACATTAAAGACAGGATTCTTCAAAGGAAAAGGGGTTTATAACAGAATCCAGAAACTCAGATCCAGGCTAATCAGAAAAAAATGTTTACCATTAGCATAGGACAACTGCCCAATTTTCTTACAGTAACCATGGTGATGTGGTTGAGCAATAACTCAGGGAACTCTAGCGGTAGACACTGTTCTTTCCTTGGGACATTCACTCCCCACTCCAGGCAGGTGCTTTTTGTTTTCTCCAGGCTACTATCTGGAGCACATAAAGGTTAATACAAAGCTTTCAATCACTCCTTTCTGCTGTTCCCTAATACTCCTGCCCCACTCTCCTGGCCAGGCTCCCAATTTCTGTCACCTACACCATCCTGTTCTTTGTTCCTGCCTTCTTCCTCCAAAGCTTACAAACTTCCTGGTTTAGATTTTTCTTCTGTTTTTTTTTTTGAGCAGAGATGGGGTTTCACTATATAGCCCAGGGTGGTCTCAAACTCCTGGGCTCAAGTGATTCTTCTGCCTTGGCCTCCCAAAGTGCTGGGATTACAGGTGTGAGCCACCGCATCCAGCCCTGGCTTAGATTTTTCTTTCAAACTCTTGGGCTTCCCAGGGTGGTTTTTTTTTTTTTTTTTTTTTTTGAGATGGAGTTTCACTCTTGTTGCCCAGGCTAGAGTGCAATGGAGGGATCTCAGCTCACCGCAATCTCTGCCTCCCAGGTTCAAACAATTCTCCTGCCTCAGCCTCCCAAGCAGCTGGGATTACAGGCATGTGCCACCATGCCTGGCTGATTTTGTGTTTTTAGTAGACACAGGGTTTCTCTATGTTGGTCAGGCTGGTCTCGAACTCCTGACCTCAGGTGATCCACCCGCCTCAACCTCCCAAAGTGCTGGGATTACAAGCATGAGCCATCGAGCCCGGCCCTCCCAGGGTAGTTTTAAACCATTACTTGTCCTCACTTCATGGTCAGAACATGCTACCACTTGTAGGCTGTGTAGCTACTCCCTCATCTGACTGATTTCTGGAATGCTCCTACACCCTGCTGCCCTGGCTTTCTCAGACCTGAACTCCTGCTAGTGACCACCTGAGGGTGATAACCAGACCTATGCACAGGACTGCTGTTGGCAGGTCCTTGGGAAGGGTCACAGTAAACAGAGCTCCACTGCTGACTAGGGCTAACTGGTGAACCCAATGGTGGTGATATTAGAGGCTATTGCTATGGTATACTCTGAGACTATGCAACTGCCATAATTTTTTTTTTCAGGTTCAAACACCCAGTGGTTTTGGTATATTAATCAAAATCCCTTTGTTAGGATTTACCAAGAATTTAGCAGTACACTAATAGTGCCAGCCCAGGAAGCTGTTGAGGAAGTTGTTTAATGGATTTGGGGTAGATGGGGTAACACGTGTGACTAGAGTCAATAGGAACATGGCATCCCTAAAAGAGGGACAGTTGTGCCACTGGTGTTTCTTCCACAAGGGTTACTCATTCAGACTTTCAGTTGTGCCCTTCTAAAGAGTGTCCTTTGATTGCGTGTCAGACATCAGATGAGCAGGATAAGCCACCAGTTTGGCCCAGGCATAGAGTTTCAATTTCTATGTTTCCTCAAAGAGACTCAAAACCCAGAAAGCAGAGTTTGAATCTCTGGGTAGTTCGCTTCCAAATCTAGTTCACTGGATACTGTACAGTTCAGGAAGTAGATACTGGTTTACCATTCCCTCCATGGCCCAAATTCTATCTTGTCCCAATCCTCCTTACATACCTGTGGTTTCCTCTTCAGGGCTTGTATGTCTTAGAAATGTCTTCAGATTCTTAGCAAACTCTCCTTTTTGGGCCAGGAGAGCACTGTAGGATCCTTTCTCTATAATTGTGCCATTCCCCAGAACTATTATCTCATCCACTTGAGGAAGAAAGTGCATGCTATGTGTAACCAAGAGTCGAGTCTATAAAAATAATATGAAGTTGTGTTAATTACCATATGTCCACCATCTTCCCTGTCTTACTTGCCAGACATGTCCTCCCCTCTCCCTCCCACCCCACCTTTGTATCTTCATCATGTTCAATGATTTCTCACCTTGCCTTTCAACAGGCCATTGGGGCCCAAGACCTTATTAAAAATATGTTTTCCTACATGAGCATCCACAGCAGACAAAGGGTCATCTAGAAGATAGATGTCTAAATTTTGGTAGGTAGCTCTGGCCAGGCTGATCCGCTGCTTCTGACCCCCACTGAGATTTATACCCTGAAGAAGAAAATAATTTATATTAAGCACTACTCCCTAGACCCACCTTCACAGAATCTAATAGGGAGGGGTAAAAAGAAGAAATTTATCTCAATAAGGTGTCAAGGGGTTAAAAATCTAACAAGTTCCTTTATACAAATAAAGAACTGATTCAAATAAATAACTTTAGGCCCAACAATTAAAGATATGGCCAACTTATCACTTTTTATCAGATAATTTACTTATTTAATGGTTTTGTTGCTTGTCACCCCATGAGAATGTAGAACAGAGGTTTTTTCTGTTTCGTTCATGGATGTAACCCCAGCACTTAAAACAGTATTTGGCATATAGTAGGTGCTCAATAAGTGTATGCTAATTAATGAACAAAATTACTCTAGAGCTGTATCTTCACTAATCTTCTAACATCTTGAGATTTTTTGTTCCCAAAGATTGCTACATTTATTTCTAGTACTGGGGAGGGAGGATGAAAACATCCTAAATATGCAGGGTTTTTATTTAGAGATTTCAAAATAAATTATGCTAGATCTATATAATAAATACAATATAGTCATTAAAAATCTTTTTCTTTTTTTGAGATGGAGTCTTGCTCCATTGCCCAGGCTGGAGTGCAGTGGCACAATCTCAGCTCACTGCAACCTCTGCCTCCTTGGTTCAAGCAATTCTCCTGTCTCAGCCTCCCGAGTAGCTGGGACAAAAGGCGCCTGCTACCACGCAAGGCTAATTTTTGTATTTTTAGTAGAGATGGGGTTTCACCTTGTTGGTCAGGTTGGTCTCAAACTCCTGCGCCCAGCCCTAAAAATCTATTTTTAGGAAAGGCCTTTAATAACATCAGGAGATAATTCACAGTAAACGTCTAAGTGTTCAAAGCAGATTAGTAGAATCTTCCCCTGGCCTTGCTGATACAGAAGTAGAATCAGGACACCTAGGCTCTGGTCCCACTTCTGTCCAACCTCCTGTGAGATCAACCTTGGGCCAGTCACTGTTAACTTCTTATGGCCTTTGCCTCATCATCTTTGATTTAAATTACATAATTCCTGTATCTGCTTCCAAGCAGAAAGTTTTAAAATTCTGAGTTATTACGTGGAATATTGTGACCCTGTGTAGTTCTTCACCACCATCCTCACTTTTTCTCTTCAATATGCCTTCACCCTTGAAGATCCCTTGTTATCCCAAGTACCTTCTCTCCAATCTCAGCCAAATCTCCTCCAGGCAGCATTTCCAAGTCTGGGAGGAGAGCACAGGCCTCCAGGACTTGCTGGTACCTCTTTTCATTCAACTCAGCTCCAAAAAGGATGTTTTCCTTGATGGTTCCATTCTGAATCCAGGACTGCTGTGGGATATAGGCAGTGGTGCCCTAGATGAAAAAGGATCAGACTATATTACATCTGCACCTCCAGAAATGCAGGGTTGAAGGATGAGGTGACTGGAGAGGGGGAAGAAACAAATGGAGTTTAAATTTGAAGAACGGTGCATCAGGATGACTGAGGATCTGATATTTATTCATGTGCTTGTAGTTATTCCACTCTCAGGACTCAATATCCTCTTCACCATCAAAAGCCCCCCTTTTGTTAGACTATGTTTTCCAGCCATGATCCTGAAAATTAGATGATAAATGTGTGTGTTGCTTCTAGAAGAGGGTTTTGGTCAAACCCAATTGAATTTACTAGGAGCAACAAAGGGCTAACACTGACGAGGGAATGGTATAGATCAGCAGTCCCCAACCTTTTTTGGCACCAGGGACCAGTTTTGTGGAAGACAATTTTTCCATGGATGGGGTGGTGGTGGGAGATGGTTTCGGGATGAAACTGTTCCACCTGAGATCATCAGGCAGTAGATGCAGCCTAGATCCCTGGCATGTGCAGTTCACAAAAGGGTTCGTGGTCCTATGAGAATCTAATGCTGCTTTTGATCTGACAGGAGGTGGAGCTCAGGTGGTAATGCTCGCTCGCCGCTCACCTTCTCCTGTGTAGCCTGGTTCCCAACAGGCCATGGAACAGTACCAGTCTGAGGCCCAGGGGTTGGGGACCCCTGGCATAGATGACATCTTAGGAAGCAAGATTATATCCAAAGAGAGATGGAGCCTGGGTGCGGTGGCTCACGCTTGTAATCCCAACACTTTGGGAGGTCAAAGTAGGCGAATCACCTGAGGTCAGGAGTGACCAGCCTGGCCAACATGGTGAAACTCCATCTCTACTAAAAACACAAAAAGTAGCTGGATATGGTGGCACGAGTCTGTAATCCCAGCTACTCGGGAATCTGAGGCAGGAGAATCCCTTGAACCCAGGAGGCAGAGGCTGCAGTGAGCTCAGATTGGGCCACTGCACTCCAGCCTGGGATACAGAGTGAGGCTCCATCTCAAACAAACAAACAAACAAAAAACAGAGATGGAGGCCGGGCGCGGTGGCTCACGCCCATAATTCCAGTACTTTGGGAGGCTGAGGCAGGTGGATCACAAGGTCAGGAGTTCAAGACCAGCCTGGCCAAGATGGTGAAACCCTGTCTCTACTAAGAATACAAAATTAGCCGAGCGTGGTGACATGTGCCTGTAATCCCAGCTACTCAGGAGGCTGAGGCAGAGAATTGCTTGAACCTAGGAGGCAGAGGTTGCAGTAAGCCGAGATTGTGCACCACTGCACTCCAGCCTGGGTGACAGACTGAGACTCCGTCTCAAAAAAAAAAAAAAAAAATGAACAACCAGAAATGGAGACCAACAAATGCCTGTGTTTGAGGAAGAACCCAGTTATGAGTTAGCAAGAAAAAAAGCTTCCCCAAAGGGGTTAGAAGACAGACTTAAATCTGTAGTCTGCTCTGCTATAGTGCATGTTTTTAAAATTGCAAATTAGTAGGCCGGGCGCAGTGGCTCAAGCCTGTAATCCCAGCACTTTGGGAGGCCGAGACAGGCGGATCACGAGGTCAGGAGATTGAGACCATCCTGGCTAACACGGTGAAACCCCATCTCTACTAAAAAATACAAAAAACTAGCCAGGCGATGTGGCGGGCGCCTGTAGTCCCAGCTATTCGGGAGGCTGAGGCAGGAGAATGGTGTAAACCCGGGAGGTGGAGCTTGCAGTGAGCTGAGATCAGGCCACTGCACTCCAGCCTGGGTGACAGAGCAAGACTCCATCTCAAAAAAAAAAAAAAAAAAAATTGCAAATTAGTTCATTAGTGATTGCTAAATCAGGAAATGATATCAGTATATTGTAGAAGAAGAGCTGATTCTTAAATTTTTTTTCCAAGCAGGTCAATATAAATCAATTGGAGGAAGCATTCTCATACTTAAAAAGAAACTCTTAGCAATATATGAAGATCTTAAGAAAAAAAGCTGAAAATCTACAGATACACCTCTCTTTGGTACAAGTAGTGGTAACAATTCAAAAATGACTAAAATTTTCCCTAAATTTAGCTCTCTGGAAAAGTTCAGAGTACTGATGAAGATGCCATGAAAACATTTTCCTCTGTGTTAAAAAAAATCATAATTAGCCAGGCGCAGTGGCTTACCCATATAATCCCAGCACTTTGGGAGGCTGAGGCAGATGGATCACTTGAGGACAGGAGTTTGAGACCAGCCTGGACAACATGGCGAAACCCTGCCTCTACTAAAAGTACAAAAATTAGCTGGGCATCATCAATGATAGACTGGGTAAAGAAAATGTGGCACATATATACCATGGAACACTATGCAGTCATAAAAAGGAATGAGATCATGTCCTTTGTAGGGACATGGATGAAGCTAGAAGCATCATCCTCAGCAAACTAACACAGGAACAGAAAACCAAACACTGCATGTTCTTACTCATAAGTGGGAGTTGAACAGTGAAAACACATGGATACAGGGAGGGGAGCATCACACACCGGGGCTTATTGGGGGCTGAGGGGTGAGGGGAGGGAACCTAGATGACAGGTCAATAGGTGCAGCAAACCACCATGGCACACGTATACCTATGTAACAAACCTACACGTTCTGCACATGTATCCTGGAACTTAAAGTAAAAAAATTTTTAAAAATTAAAAAAAAAAAAGTTAGTGGGGCATGGTGGCACACACCTGTAATCCCAGCTATTTGGGAGACTGAGGCAGGAGAATCGCTTGAACCCAGGAGATGGAGGTTGCAGTGAGCTGAGATTGCACTATTGCACTCCAGCCTGAATGACACAGCGAGACTCTGTCCCAAAAAATGTATATATAATTGATGAAGACAACACCTTGCACCAGATTTTTATTTTGGAAGCAAATGCCATCAAAGATTTAGCTCTCAAAGGAGGGAGAGAGAGGCCCAAGACTAACTGTAATGTTGGGTGCAAATGCCGGTGTTGATTTTACAAGGTTACTGTTTTTATTGCTCTCGATGTTATTGCTATGGTTGGTATTGTTTTTGTTGGTAGTTTGATTACAAAGTTACATAAGTTTTTAGTGATCTATTACAATTCTTTTCCCCTAGGTCCTGTTATTTTTATTGTAGAGTTTTGCAGAATGTGTGATTTTTCAGAAACAAATACATAGATAAAGCAGAAATGCCTATACTTTTTTTTGTTTGTTTGTTTTTGAGACAGAGTCTCTTTCTGTTGCTCAGGCTGGAGTGCAGTGGCATGATCTTGGCTCACTGCAGCCCTCCTGGGCTCAAGTGATTCTCATGCCTCAGCCTCCCAAGTAGCTGGGATTATAGGCGCGTGCCACCATGCCTGGCTAATTTTGTATTTTTAGTAGAGACGGGGTTTCACCATGTTGATCAGATTAGTCTCGAACTCCTGACCTCAGGTGATCCACCTGCCTCAGCCTCTCAAAGTGCTGGGATTACAGGTGTGAGTCACCGCGCCTGGCCAGAAACGCCTATATTTTGAAGGAAGACATCTCTAATCAACAGTTTTCACACTGTAGTATGCATATGAGAATCACCTTTAGAGCTCCTTAAAAATGCAGATTCCCAAATCTTAGCCCCAGCAACTGATTATATAAAGTTGAAATGGGACAGAAAATCACAGTCCACAAATCTACCAGATGTCTCCAAGGCCTCACCTACTAGCCCTCAGTGCCTTCTCCCCAGTGAGGCAAAAGCACGAAGGGAGTCAGAGGGAGGCTCCTCGCTGACATTCGGGAGTCAGAGGCGTTTGCAATGGCATTCCCTCTCACCTTGATGGTGATGTGCCCGTGGACATTTTCCATTTCTCCCAGCATGGCTGATATCAAGGAGGACTTCCCAGAGCCGACAGGCCCCATCACAGCCACAAGTTGGCCTGGCATAATGTCCAGGTTCACACTGAAAGAGAGGAATGTCTTTGAAGGAGATAGCAGGGGTTGGGTATTAAAGAGTAGCTCAAGTTACTTTTCTGAGTCTCCACGAAGTCTGGCATTAGGAGATTTCCCCTCAAGATTGGAAAATTTGCCTTGGATATACAAGACCCCAAAGTGCTTCTTTAATACTTTTTCTTTTTGTTTTTTCTTAGCTCTAAAAGGCTAGAGAATGAGCCCCAATGAACCCTAATTTATCCAACTCATCTGTAAGCTGTTTGTGCCAAATGTGCATTTCCAACGATAACATTCTCCTAGAACGAACATGGTTACCCATTGAACAAGACCCTATTGGGGGCCTGGAGACCTGGCTTGGTTCAAGTCCCAACCCTGATGCTGCTGGGCTATGTCATCTTGGAAGGTCACTTCCTTTGGACTAAGGACCCCTCCTTTCTTACTAATGGGATTGGACTAGATTAACATTTCCCAAATTTAGCTGCTAAATGTGTCACCCGGAACATTTGCTGAAAGTAGATTCCCTGGCCTTTCTCCTGAATATTTGACTGTATCTGGCTGGGTAGGGGCCCACACTGGAACAGGTTCCTGGAAACTCTGTGTGCCAGCCCTGTTATTTGAGTTTCTAGAACACTAGGAACATTAGGAACTTGTTCACAGTCTTTCTGAATCTGCCCCTTGAGCTGAATTTCTTCCAGACCTATAACAGTATGGTGGAAGCCCTGCCCAGTTTCCTCTCTGGAAAGGGAACCTGCTGGGTTAGGAGGGTTCAGAGCAGATGCTCCTGCCCCTAGCTCATCGTGGGGCTAGCTCTGGAGTCCATGTTAAAGACTATAGGAACAAGATAGAGGAGTGGGAAGTCAGGGGTATAGTAAGGAGATAATAAGACATGCTCAGTTGTCCGAGATCGCGCCACTGCACTCTAGCCTGGGTGACAGAGCAAGACTCCCTCTCAAAAAAAAAAAAAAAAAAGATGTGCTCAGTTGTGAAGAAAGAAAGATATGGCCTATTCAGGCCCCTGGTGTACTCTGTGTGCTGTGCTCAGTGGATGAATTGGGTGTGCTATTACACATGGTGCTTAAGAGACACACTACGTGCAGAAGATTCACACTAAGAAGCCAGATTCCAATGTTCCTGATTGCTATTCTTGGATGAATGAACTTATACTGAATTCAGGTTCTTGTGTTTATCTTCTACCATACCCAGAGACGCGGCCACCTGCCAACACTGCACCACCTCCATCCACAATCTGCACACACAAATGTCTTCATGGGATCACAGCTGGATATTCATGGTCCCATAGTAGGAAAGCAGGGTGGCAAATACAGTTATCGGGGGAAGGGGCTGAGAACCTTTGCTTTCAGCTCATCTCTCCAGGGGTTTGTCCTGCACTGGTATCTAATTGAAGACACGCACATAGCTCATTTCCCCATGTATTCTACTACACGGAATTTTCTGAGAATAGGCCAGGCAGTGAGAATGCTAAAGAACATTAGGATGGAAAGAAGGCAACTCACTCTCGGATTGTGGCTTCCATATCACGTTCCCAGGTAAAGGAGGCCTCAGAAAACTGCACGGCTTTGTCTGTTGAGAAAAAGTCCTCTTTTGGTCAAATGTACGTCCCCATGTGACTGTCTGCCCTTTCTCAGCCCTCATGTGTCTCCGCTTTCTCCATCAGCACCCGGGATTGTTTCTGCTAAGTGCTGGCTCCTATGCTAACAGGACGCAAATGAAATCTCCTAGAATGAGATCAGAAGTGGCCTGCATATGAAGTCCTTTTTTTTTTGAGTCATGGTCTCACTTTGTCACCCAGACTGGAGTGCAGTGGTGCAATCTCGGCTGACTGCCACCTTGACTTTCCAGGCTCAAGAGATTCTCCTGCTTCAGCCTCCAGGTAGACGGGACTATAGGCATGCACCACCATGCCCCGCTAATTTTTGTATTTTTAGTAGAGACAGAGTTTCGTCATGTCACCCAGGCTAGTCTCCAACTCATGGACTCAAGCAATCTGCCCGGCTCAGCCTCCCAAAGGCCTGGGATTACAGGCCACTGTGTCCAGCTTAAAGTCCTTTTTTTGTTTGCTTGTTTCATTTTGTTTTTTTGAGATGCAGTTTCACTCCTGTCACCAAGGCTAGAGTGCAATGGTGCAATCTCAGCTCACCACAACCTCCACCTCCCAGGTTCAAGTGATTCTCCTGCCTCAGCCTCCCGAGTAGCCAGGATTACAGGCATGTGCCACCACACTCAGCTAATTTTGTATTTTTAGTAGAGACGGGGTTTCTCCATGTTGGTCAGGCTGGTGTGTCAAGTTCCTGACCTCAGGTGATCCGCCCGCCTCAGCCTCCCAAAGTGCTGGGATTACAGGCCTGAGCCACCGTGCCTAGCTAAAGTTTTTTTGATTCAGAACTCCCAAGCCTACTGGAAGGCCAGATTCCTGACCTACGCATACTCTGGGTATACTCTCAGGCCCTCTGTTGCCCAGTCGCCTTGTATGAATTCCACCTCCATATATAAATCCTCCCCACCATGGATTCCAGTCCTACTGCCTACTCTGGCCATGGTTGGCCCCCAACCTTTAAACCTTCAGAATCGGAGTATTCTTTCACTCTAGGCTACCTTCCCAATCCCATACACTTGGCTCCATCCTGACTTCTGCTTTCTGGATCCTTTGCAGGATTCCCTGCTTATCCTCAGAAGAGCTGGCCCAGCTTTATTTAGCAATCTAGTTGAGCAATCTGCTCTAAGTGTAAACATAATTGAAGTAAGAACAGTATGTATCTTATGCAAGCATAGGCTCAAGACAAATCTCCAAGCTCTCTCTTTCAGTTTGCTGCTGCTAAGTTCTTGCATTATCAAAATTCTGGCACCAGCACTGCAAATAAGTTTGGGAAGCAACTTCCAAATTTATTTACCAAAATTGCAGTCATGTCGAATAGCAGATGTGTCCAAGTCATCCCCTCCCAAGTACTTCTCCAGCCGCTCTGTGGAAACACCAGCCTAGAGAGGGACACAAAGGATCTCGAGAATTAAAGTCAGTAACAAGCACAAGCAGAGAGATTTTGACTTTGTCATTAGCCCATGATTTTCTATTTGCCACAGCTGGCATCTCCTAAGCTCCACCAAACTGAGTCCTGGAAGCTATTCCACCATAGACAGATGGAAGTGGGTGCTCTATTTCAGTCCTTGAGCAAACTCATGGAGTTCAACTCCTCTGCTCTCTCCAGTCGTTGGCCCTAATTCCAGAAACTACCTCCTGCCTTCTAAGACAAAAACTTAACTTCTATCTGGTTCTGGTAACTAGGCCCCTGGCTTTCTCTTCTTTAACTGAGTCTATGCCCTGATGCACATCCAGCATCCTAACTAAGCCACTCCTGGGAGCCTCTGTAGAGGAACTGAATATGGCATCAGGGGGACCCTGCACACTTCCACACAGGCCAGATAGCCAAAGCTTAAATTGCAGGTGAGGTAAGTGTTGGCAGAATACCCTGCAGTCCCCCGGAACTTGAGAACTTGGGAAGATTTCGAGGCACTTCTACAAGGATGTTTCTCACCTACTTCCCTTTCTTCCAAGGAGGCTGTCACGAGACGGTTTTTCATTGCCACCCAGGCTCTGACGAAGTCTTAGGCTTTCTGCCTGCTCCCTCCTTAGGGTACAGAAGCAGGCTATAGAACCATTTAACTGCGCATGGATCAGTTCCTCAAAAACAAAGTACCCGACTACTCACATTGCATTGCCATCTGACCCTTTTGTTTTGTTTTGTTTTGTTTTGTTTTGAGATGAAGTCTCACTCTGTCGCCCAGGCTGGAGTGCAAGGGTGCGATCTTGGCTCACTGCAACCTCCACCTCCCAGGTTCAAGTGATTCTTGTGCCTCAGCCTCTTGAGCAGCTAGGACTACAGGCATGTGCCACCACGCCTGGCTAATTTTTGTTTTTTTTGGTAGAGATGGGGTTTCACCATGTTGGCCAGGCTGGTCTCAAACTCCTGACCTCAGGTGATCTGCCTGCCTCAGCCTTCCAAAGTGTTGAGATTACAGGTATGAGCCCAGCCACCATCTGACCCTTTCTGATTCAGTGTCATCCTGAGGACCAGGAATGCAGGGAGCTGATACCTTTGCTGATCTTGCTTTTGCTATTTATGCAATAAATTGCATCTAAAAAGATCCTGTTGCTTCTTTACCTGCCAAATCTGCCAGCTTTTCTTTACACCCTCCAGGACAGGGAGGCCTTCTCTTTCCCATGGTCTGAGCTCTCTGAAGCCAGCCTCTTCTGGGATAAATCAAGTCACCACACTCCTGTCATTCAGGCCTTCTCATCTGTCTGGTGACCTTCCTCTGCAGCTCTGGTACTTGTCGCATATCAGTGACTATGCTCAGTTTTCAGAACCCAGGCATTTCCTCTGGTCCATCCAAGGTTTCCTGAACTCCAGACTCATTTTCTGATAGCGCAAGGCTCTCAATTTGCATTTGGTTTGACCAACACATGGGTTTATGCAAAGGGAGGGTCTTTCTTCTCCCTTTGTGCCGTATTTGCCTAACGCTATCTCAACACCTCAAGCGCCTTGGAAAAATATGAGAGAAACTAGGCTGGGAAATGTTCCCAGTACTAGGACTAAACATAATAATCTCACTAAAGGCTTTCAGAGATTGTCTCCCTGTGAGGTAGATGAGATTGGTATAATTATCCTCATTTTATAGTTAGATAAACTGGGGCTCAGAAAACTCATGATTTTATTAAGGTCAAACCACTGGTCTCCAGAAATCAAACAGATCTCTCTCTCTTGAAAGTTTACCAGCATAAGTTAGACATGGGATGGGATAGCCAGTCATTCTGGACTCCAAGGCTCTTAACCAGAGATAGGCAGTCATCAGCGAGAGTGCCGACCTACCTGGAGCATGGAGGAGATCATCATGGGAAGCATGCTCAGGGGAAAGCGCAGGATGTTGAAGAGAGTGATGGAGGTGAAGGCCTTTTGTGCATCCAAAATATTGTTGCTATCCACCAGGACATAAACAGAAAATGTGACCACAGATACCTGGAAAGGGCAAGGTCATAAGCAATTTATTCCTAAAAGGGACAAAGCAGCATTGTGCTAGGTTTCAGGAGCACCGTATATCAGAGTTGAAGGCGCCTTAAGGATGATCTTCATGTATAGATGAGAAAACTGAGCCCAGGAGAGGAGGAAATATCTTCCCCAAGGTCACAAAGTCAATTAATGGATTACTAGGACCAGAGTTCAGGTCTCCTGGATCCTTTATCAGTGTTCCATCCACTATAGACCTACACCACCTTCCAAAAAAGACAAGAGAGCCTCCTAAGCCAATCCTTCCTGATACCACATGCTTGCTGTGCATCTTGAAAAGTTGCTCTGGGCTGCCAGACCACCGTACAGTACATGAAGGTGAAACTAGAGCTGGGGGTGTGGGACAAAGGAGGAAAAGCAGCATGGGGCAGTGAGAGGGACAAGTCCCCTGGATCTTGCGGTCAGGCCTAGAGGTGCCAGCTAGTCTATTAAAAGTGGACTTCCTTTTCAGGAAGCTGATGCAGGTCCAGGTGAACACCCAGGCGAATGCCCATGGACCCCTCTGCTACTCACCAGGACTGGAGTTAACTGGAAGATAAACATTACTACACACTGTAGTTGACTAAAGGCCAGCAGGTTCTTGAGCTCTTTCTTTCGGAGGTTTTGGACTTGGTCTCTGAATGAAGGTTCCCAGGCAAAATATTTCAGGATCTAATAAGTTGAAAAAAAAAATACAGCTCACATGACTGTCCCTGAAAGGGCACCAGGTATATCTGATCCACCCATGTTTCAGGATATAGTCCCCAAAATGTGTGGAATAGAAATCCAGATTATAAAGTATGATTACAGAAAGGTAGCTTGTATTTATTGACAATCTGCTATGTACAAAGCATTTTAAATACATTATCTCACTTTATAACAACCTTAGTATGACTAACTGTTCTAGTTTGCCGGGGACTAAAGGGCTGCCCAGGATACAGGCCTTCCAGTACTAAGACTTTAAAAGTTCTGGGCAAATTGAGGTGAGTTAGTCACATTACATTTGTAGAGTTATTATCTTCATTTAAATGATAAGGAAACAAGCTGAGAGAAGCAAGGGAACCTTCCCAAACTTTTGGCAAGTTAAACTACCCAGTGGTAGAGCTGAGATTCAAAACCAGCTCTCCTTTTAGTTTTGCCACATTAACAGAAGGACATATCAGAGCTCTGTGTGGAGAATTAACAGGGAGTTAAAAGGGGGCTCTGTTTTATTTTTAAGAAGTTTAGGATAATGTTAAGCTGCATTAATTCAAAACAATATTCAGTTAAAAGAAATCATTGGTCACCTCTGGAGGATGAAATGCATTATCACGAAAGCTGGTAAATGGAGGGGAAGAAGCAAAAATTTATTCTGCCTATCCCATACTAACTTCATTTTAGGGTAAACAACAAGCTGATGAAAGATAATTCTTCTTCATAAAATTCCAGCTAATCAATGTCAAGGGAATAACAGAATTAAAACATTTCACTCTTTTGCAGTTCCTAATGAAATAACAGACCTAGGCCATGATCATAAAATTCTTACAATAGTGTTTTTCACCTTGGTGGCATATTAGAATCACCTAGGGAACTTAAAAAAATATACATGTCTGGGCCTCGCTCCCAAAGAGTCCAATTTAAATGGTTTGAAGTAGGCCCCCAGCCTCAGTGGGTTTTACAAACTTCAAATTTCTCAGGTGATTCTAATGTGCTGCCAGCATCACAAACTACCACTCTAGTGAAAGACTAGCAGGAAACCTTGTAAAGGATGGATCAGGCTGACACTGCCTGGGCCCACTCAAGTCATCATCGCTGCAGTTTGGAAGCACACAGCACCACTTGAAAGCAACCTGGTACTCCTACCCCCAAATGAACTCTAAATCAATCAAACCTTTAGATCTAACTATCAATTTACAGGAAATAAGACAAATAACTTAGTTTTTTTGGAATGACCAAGACAAACACACACACACACACACACACACACACACACACACAGAGAAAGAGAGAAAGAAACTGTTGTAGATTAAAATCACTATCAATTAAATACCATACCATGCATGGACATTTTTTGGGTCCTTATTCAACCTAACCAACAGCAAAACAAACAAACAAAAGGCACGTATGAGGCAAATGGAGAATTTTGATGGTATCAAAGAATGTTAATTTTTTTTTTTGTAGGTATGATAATGGTATTGTGTCTATATTTTAAAAATAAGTCCTTCTTTTAGAGATACATACACAGTATTTATGAATGAAAGGACAAGATCTCTGAGATTTGCTTTAAAATAATCAAGCAAGTGTGAGGGGAGTGGGTTTATAGATGAAACTAGTTAGGGCATGCTGATAATTCCTGGAGCTGGGTGAAAAGTTCATAGGGGTTCATGATAGTCTCTATTTTTCTATATGTTTAAAAACTTCTACAGTAAAGTGTCAAAAACAAAACAAGCTATTTAGGGTGAATAAATAGAAATAGAGGTTCAACAGAGGACCTGAGAGGGACAGGAGGACATGAAACAAAAGTCATGTGACACAACTGGCCGAGAAGCAGGAATCCATCACCTCTACCAGGGTTTGCGAAGGTCAAGAGAGCCGCTGCTTCTGTCCTTACCCACAGAGAGCCACCTACGCTCAGATTCTCACCTTGATTCCACTAAGAATCTCATTCATGATCTTTAAACGTTTGTCTTTATTCTTCATATTTTTGACCTGCCAGGAAAAAAGCAAAAGAAAAACAATATACGCTTCCATGAGAGAGGGCTCAGGTTTGCTGCAGACGTCAGGCCTCACTGCTACTTTGTGACTGTCACTTAGTAAGAACTTGAGGTGCCCAGTGATGGGATTCACCACCCTCCACTCTCTTTGCCCACTCCGTTCCTGCTACACCCATCTTCTTTCTGATCCTTGCTTGTGCCAAGCTTGTTTCTGCCCCATAGCCCTTGCCTGACTGTACCCAGCTCCCAGGCTGTTCTTCCCCTGCCCTTCCCAAGGCTTTCTCCTTTACAATCAGGCTTGTGTCATTCAGAGTTCAGCTTAAATGTCCACTCCCCAAGAGGTCTTCCCTGAACTCATTGAAAATAGCCACCCATTCACTCACTATCTCATCATCCTGTTGAATTCTCTGTATAACACTTATCATGATCTGATATTTTTCTTCTTTGTATATTGCCTGTCTCTCCACCATCCCACCAGGTAGAATGTAAGATCCACGAGAACAGGAGCCCTAACTCACTACTGTGTTCTCAGAGAAGTAAGATATGCAAGAAATATTTTCAAAACAATTATTTGTAACTTGAATGCAAAACAAATGAGTGAATAAATCATATACATTGTCAAGTCTACCCACCCAACCTGTGAATTCTGGCAGGACTGAGGACACTGTCCACATGGAACCCTCCCACCTGGTGGTAGCGGGATGATTGCCAAGGCTCAGGCTGAAATTTGGATCACTCAGGCGACTGTTCTCTATGGTTGATTTAGATTGCTGTAACGGAGAAGCAGGGCCCCAAATCACTGTTACTAGGGCAGCCCAGCAGAGCAAGAGGGAAGAATTATGTGCAGCATCTCCGGGGCAGCCCTTCCTTCTCCAGTCAGGCTCTTCCCTCTAACATGAATGCAGGGGAGTGTATATAAACCCTAAGAGTCATCAGAAGATGAAAAGGGAACTCAGAGAAAGCCAAGTACACTTGAGATGGTAGAAAGTCTTCCACTAGCTTTGACTTGCCCAAATTCCCATTAAGAATTAGAATAGAGTAAGAAAAAGGGTTTACACTTTAAAGAAAGCATATATTTTTCCGGGTGACTCTTTCTTTACCTGAATGGTCCTACTCTTGGTGGACAGTATCGCATTAATTGGGATTACAAGCACCATCACCCCAACACCTGCTAAGACTGAGGGTCCCAACTCTCTCCATAGGAAGAAGATGGATAAGACAATCTGTAGAACACTTGACCACAGCAAGTGTATGAAGTTGGTCACATCCATGAGCTTCTGGGCATCCACAGACATCAGGTTCACTGTTTCTCCAACGGTGTACTCCTTCCTGGCCAAGTTGGATAGGGTCAATGCCTAAAGATAAAGATTGAAATTGGGACCCAATGACAAAGCCAGGGATACTAGGGAGTAGAAGAAGCAGCTCAGGAAGTGAGATTACAATGGAAGGATGTGCTCCATATGGACATAGCTTCTCCAAGGCACTGTGACTTCTTGCCTCCAAATCTTATACATGGTGTTCTCTCATTCTTGACCACTCTTTCTTCCTATTCCCACCTTCCTCCAACCCTACACATCCACACACTTCTTTGCCCAAAAAACTCCTATTTATCCTTTGGTGTCAGCCGAGATGTAACTTCTTGTGAGAAAACCACCCTGACTACAAAGTTGGGATTAGATACTCGTCCTGTGTACTCTCATAATATCCTGAGCTTACCGTTGTCATTACATTCATCACAATGAACCATAATTACCTTGTTTTTTTCCTGTTTCTCCACTAGATGTAAACTCTGTGAGGATGAGGGCATCTATCTATTTCAATACTATATTATGTGGCACATAGTAGAGAATCAAATACTGAAGGATGGAAGAAAAGGAGGGATGGATGGATGGAAGGAGAGAGGGAGGAAAGGAAGGAGGGAACCAGCATGTATTGATTTTGACCTCAGAAGCTTTTGATATGGCAACGTTATTTGGAGTCATACTCTTATGAAGAGGTTGCAACAATTCCCAAGAAGGACAGAGAATTTAGAATGAAGAGAAAAACTTCAGACTTCATACTATGAAGTAAAATGACTTTTGTAGGCCGGGCACAGTGGCTCACACCTGTAATCCTAGCACTTTGGGAGGACGAGGCAGACAGATCACCTGAAGTCGGGAGTTCAAGACCAGCCTGGCCAACACGGCGAAACCCCATCTCTATCAAAAGTACAAAAATTAGCTGGGCATGGTGGTGGGCGCCTGTAATCCCAGCTGCTTGGGAGGCTAAGGCAGGAGAATTGCTGGAACCTGGGAGGCGGAGGTTGCAGCGAGCTGAGATTGTGCCACTGCACTCCAGACTGGGCTACAGAGCGAGACCCTGTCTCAAAAAATAAAGTAAAACAAAAGACTTTTGTATTGTCAGGATTTTTCAGGCACTGTCTAGATGCCTGGTCTTGTAGTATGGGCTTCCTGTTCTCATGTTAGAGAGGTCAGGAGGTTGATAGCCACAAGTCTGTCACTTGCAACAATGCCTTGCACAAATGTATCAGAGTACTGAAACCAACTTGCACTATGCCACCAAGGCACCATCTGGAGTAGGCTGCATCTTTCTATAAGAAGGAGAGCCACCTTGTAATTCCCAGAAAGACAGTGTACGGGCTACAAGTGGCCCATACTACTTCCATCTCCTCCTAGAAGCACTACTGCCATCTTAATCCACTAATACATTCTTTGGAACATATCAGGATTATTGGCTGTACAGTAAAAAGAGGAAAGTTTTCTAAAATGTTGGACCACCAAGGTTCTAGAGGAATCAGCCCACTGCTATGCCTTCCTTTTGGTATGGAAGAGGGAAAAACAAAAAACAACTAACAACATCTAATTGCCCTTCAAGGTAATCACTATACATTTCTATTTTCAGTAAATTTAGTCCCAGTACATATCTCAAAAAAGAGCTATTTACGACAAACCCACAGTCAATATCATACTGAATGGCCAAAAACTGGAAGCATTCCCTTTGAAAACTGGCACAAGACAGGGATGCCCTCTCTCACCACTCCTATTCAACATAGTGTTGGAAGTTCTG